AGCAATTTGATACAAATTATATAGAATCTATAAAAGCCGTTTTGTAAATTTTTACCAAAGGAGCTAGAATTAATTTCACAAACTGCTGTCACAAACTCTTACAATACTAACAACATAGAAATAATAACACATAAATTTCAATTATCAAAAATTCACCTGTGGCAAAAAATTGGCTAGATAAGCGAAGATTACATCAACTTTAACACCTAAATAAGTAATAGCTTTTAACAATGTAATCTCTGAAAACTAAAAATTCTGATAACAATAGTAAATTATATTTTATGTAACGCCGTTTCTTACTCGATTGACGGTCTGATGTTCCGTCCATAATATATGTAATTGAAATTGATACGATCGAGATTCCCAGAAAAACTAACGCTTTTTCCAACCATGATTTCAACAGAATACGCTTAAAAAATTAAGTTTTGATATATCGAAACTGCGGCTACACTCTCTCTTATACAGATCTTTAATGCCTGATATCCCAAAGCAAAAGTTTTTAGCCATCAGTCACGTGGGCACAATAATTGCAAATGATACTACTGCCAACAGACCCAGCTTCAAAAGACACAAAAAGAAACCAACACCTCTTTTAAATGTTTCTACAAACACATTGAAATGTTTTATAAAGCACATTGGCATTAGCGACAGTGATTAAAGACGCGTGGTTAAAAGGTAATAAGTTTTGCACGTCAAAAGTAATGATGCCAAAATGTATTCAATAGGCAATTTATATAATAGGCTAATATAACGAACAGCCTTTTATCGTGCTCTGCCAAATGGAGATTTCTAGCCTTTACTTAACTAGCCAAAGTGTCTCAGTGGAGTTATTTTTTAAAAGAGAAAGACAAACGCGATCACCCATCAACCTCTGGTAATCATCAATCCTGAGACGAATCATTTTTTTCAATTTCAATAATCATCAGGAATCTTTAATACTTTTGATACGGAAACATTCCTAATCACTTGAATCACCTTGATTTAAAGACCGTATCACTCCATTAAGATCCTTACCAACAACGTCGCCGTTAATTTGGCCATGTTCCCGGAGACTGATAGCATTTAATTAAGGGGGAGGAGTCTTGATTGGCTCAACTTTTGGGCTTCTGTGTGGCAGAGACCCGTATAATTCTGTGCCAAAAACTTTCCAATAAAGTCCCCTGTTTTTTGAGATCTAGCTGGCATGCTCATTGGACGTATTTTAGTTCATTCTGAGCCGTACTTTAAGGTTTTTTGGACTGATCAAAATTTTATATCACATCGTTTGGTTACACTCAATTTTTTTATAAGAAGCAGGTTATAACAAACGGTAGGCTCAATTTTTCGAAAGTTAAGAAACAACCCTACCAAATTGAAAAAAGCTAAGAAACTTTCATAATTTGCAGTTTCAATTCTCCGAGTTGACACTAGAAACAGTCTTGACATTGAACATCACTTTATAGGCCTATTGCAACACTTTACATGCAGTTTGCATTCATTCTCAGTAAATTGCACACTCAAGAAGTTTCCATTTAAAAATTTGTTTTAACTTCAACTTGACATTGATGAAGTTCAATGAGCTTAACTGTTTACAGATCGCAACAGAGTTAGTCATTCTAGGCAAGCAAAATTCCCTGATCAATTTGCTAGTTTATCTCTGAATGTGACTTAACAATTTACTTTACCTTGGAAGCACATTTAAAAAATTCATTACCTAAGAACTTTAAAAAACATGTAAGAAAACATTTGATAGCAAAGTGGCCAGAAAATTGAAGAAACTGCCTACAAGCACCGGACCTTAATTTTTTATAAAAAAATACGTGTAATTAGCATTTTTCATACAAAGCATATCAGGACTTTTTGTGTGCTAGCTATGGTGTAATAGCACCCCAGCACCTTCGAATTTGCTTTAACCTGGTATCCGAAGGTAGTTTTAGGACACTGAGAATCTATGCTTATCGAATACTGCCCTGGTCATTTCTCTCAATATATTTGCACACCTGAAGATTCCTATGCCTAGAATTACAGAGAGCTGGGCAATCCTCTCAAACTGTGTAAAAGTATGGTCATTTCATGTCAGGGGCTCGAACCCCTAAGGCTGTGTTTATACGGGGCCAGCCGAGTATCTGCTCGGTCACTTAGGTGTGCAAATATTCAGCAACCTAGGAAAGCGCCCTTCTTGAAACGTGACAAGCCAAATTTGCACGGTACCAAAAAGATGGTGTCGATGCGTGCTACGGAGCCATTACTGAGCCACCCTCACACTCCAAGCACCTGTGTGTCATTCCTTTTTTCTCTCTTTGAACATTCTCTAGACTGAAATTTCAACTAACGGACACACCAACATGCCACAGGAGAATACTCACAACGGATATTGTCCAAATCATTATTTCCATTGTCAAACATCTGTACGAGTGCAAGTTACCTTGAAAAGCAGTAACTCGTTGCATCAATTAGCAGTCATTGCAGTTATTATAATTCTTACTGGATGAGAGGATGAGAGAAAAGCAGGGTACCTCCCCTCCTAAGCTGTCAAAAGTATATTACATGGATATACTTTTGGGTAGCTGTAACCCTCTCCGTGCCCCTTTCTTGCGAACCCCCATCTGGCATTGACAAAGCTCTAGGAAGCACACTGAACTCAAATAGCTATTTCTAAGTATAGGATCGAGGGTGTGACCAATGGTGGAAGACAGTTTCTTTAAGATGGCTTCCTAAAATAGAATGACTCTCTTCCTAAAAGAGAATGACGCTCTTCCATATAAATTCTTTCAGCGATACAGAGCGTGATCACGCAAAGGAAGAAATCTTCCACACGAGGAACAAAAAAATACCAACGCAAAGTCATAAACGTAAGTGACTAATTTACAGAAAATGAATTGCTTCATACCAATAGCACAAATTATTTTGCGGTTAGAAGATATACGAAAAGGAATATTGACCACGGACATAACCTGTTTGTAGCATGTGGGCAAAATTACCTAATTACCTTCACAAAGGCTATCTATATCACGGTCTTTGAAATGTTATAAATGTACCACAAGTACAGTGTTATTGAATTGCTCTATAATTAGAAATAGTTTCTTGTTGCCTATGAAACGACCAGTCGAATATCCTATGAATGGGTGAACTTTATATGTCTTCATAGGAATTGCCTGTCTCCAAACAGACTTAGAACTTGAAATATGTTAGGCTGAGTCTCTATCTGTCCAAACGTTTTTAAAAAAACTGTTCAGAAGTCATTATGCCGTCATCAATGGCGACCTGCAACCACATGAGAAGCCTCAAGGCACTCCTCAAAATCTTTTATTGGACCTCGAAATACCACTATAAACCACAAGTTTGAGAAAATGAAAGTAACAAGTGAAAACTACTTATTTTTGGAAAGTGGTTATAGAGGCGTGAGCGTATTATGATGGAACCTCCAATAAGGACATCTCGATGCAACAGATACACCAGATACACACAACAACGAACAAACTTCCAAACGGTTCAATTACTATTTTCTAAGCTTTATCAAATGACATTTCTAATCTAAATGGATATAGAATTAGATGTGATGTCAAACTTTCGTCAAAGCTAGCAGACATCATCAAAACATCAAAACAAATAGACATCATCAAGACATCAAAACAAAACTTAGTGAGGTTTTACCTCCATCTAATCTTACACGTAGAATCTTTGTAACATACCAGTTATACTGAGTTCGTCGTATGGGTTTACTTCCCAATCGTAATCCAAGACTAAACTGAACACAAAAAAGTTCCAGGGCAAACTTGAACGGCTTTCATGCGAGAATCGAGGACGAACAACAAACATTCATTCTTCTTTTATTATGTCTTTGATTAACCTTTTTCTTATTCGAACAGTCTAACTATCACATCAAAACACACGACTATGTATTGGAAAATTTTATTTTGCCGGTTTTGTTATTCCTGTAACCCACGCAAACTGATTCCCTAAGATGCGAAATATTCGCAAAGGGATCTGGCGTAATCCAGACACACAATTGACGTGAAATGACGATAAAGCAGTGATTCATGGGTTAGATAAGAAAGACCGTTTAACTTACGCATATCATAGTTGATTCACACCGGTGTATATAAAAGCCCTTTATTCAGTGGAAATCCAAAAGCACTGCTGAGAGTTTTCAAACGAGAAAGACACGAGCCTAGTCCAACATCACGGGTTTGTGGGAATAAAAACTTGGCTTGCTGGGAATTATAGTAGATATCAAGGACTTAAATGTATAATGTTCTCTAATACAGTGGCTATTGTAAGTCGCCATCGTTTGAATTCAATAAGCGCGTTATTCATTGTGACTAGGCCGGTGTTTCAGTACCGGCATGTCAAGAGTCAGTCATATTTCAAATTTGATGTTTTGTTTTGATAAGTTATTTCTCTTTGCCTATGCACAAGAGGCAAGGAACAACTTAGAGAATGCAAATTCAATGATTTACAATTACGGTCGTAGATGTAGGAATCGGGGGGCTTGAGACCGCGTGCCCCATTATCCAGAAACAAATGTGAATACTTAATGACAGCATACGGAGGTGCCCCTTTCTGGCCTACATGTGACCCTCTCCCATTTATGAAATGCTTCCTACGTCTATGATTACGGTTCACTAATAAAACTTGATAATTCCAATGTAACTTTTACTTGCCCGCTTTCTTCATTTAATCAAACGCCAGGGTTATTACACAAGGAAAGCAGAAAATATCATACTATTTGGTTGTAAAGGTAAATTTGATAATACCTGATAAATACTCACGGCAAGAATAAATCTACAAAATAAACCTTGAGCTTGAAATTGGCAAAAGAAAGAATATGAATTCATCTCCTAGGGACCTTGGTATCAGATCAGTTCGCAATTTTAGGGGCAGATGGTGAGATGAAACTGCTAAACGAAAATAGGCAGCACAAGAGAAAATAGAAGAGCAGTGGATATATCTTTCTCCGTGCATTCCCTTGCTCCAGTGTCTCTATTACTTTTCCTTTTTTCATTCACAGAAAATTTACATTTTACGTTTCCTTGGTGGGATTAACATTTTAAGACAGCTCCGAGAATTTCGTTTCCTTGCTTGGGTTAACATTTAATACAGCTAAATGCAAACTGTTTGCTCTTACAGAAGAATGCAAAAGACTGTGTTTAGATGTTTCGATCTAAAGGCAACGTTTATTACATTTGTTTGGTGACCATAAAAACACGACATTAACGAGAAATCACATACTACCTCGTTTATCCTTGAATTACCAAAACATGTTTCTTCGGATCTGTGCATAATAAGCAAAAATCCACCAGGAAATCTCAAATGTATTACGAATGCACGTAAACAGCAAACCTCGTAAACTGTTCGCACATTGAATGCAAGCGAATTGCTTTGGTTGCCACCAAAATAAACCGAACAAGTAATCTTCGATTTTTCAAATGACACTAGGTTCTTTCAAAAATTTCATTGAATTCTTCATCAACAGGAAATGTGAAGTTTTCAATCAGGACAGAGCTCTCTTGCTGGGTTTTACAAAATCAAAAGCGTAAAATGAGCATTTCCCAGGGAATTTCGCTTTATTCAAGCTTTTTATGTTACATAAAAGAGCGCGTTTCCTTGCTAATGAGTCTCTGCTGTCTATAAAGCAAGTTCGTCGAACCAAGGGTGCAGAGGATGAGGTTTTGCTGGAGCCCCCCAATCGCTGTCAATCTATAGTATATTTCCTTTATAAAAGTGTACTGAATAAGGAGGAATATATTGAACAGGCCCCCCCTCCCTCCCAAAAAATATGAATTTCCTTCCGACGACTGTAAAGCTTGAATCTTGCTGCACATTAAGCGAGAGAAAATTTACGTTCATTACCAACTGATAAAATGCTACAGAACAGAAAAACACGAATATCTAACATTGGAGAGGGGTGGGGCTCCTTCCTTATGTGCTTAAATTATGCCTACGATTAGAGTGTGCTCATAAAACTCTTGAATGAAGCAGTTAACAGGGTAACAGAAGCTACAAGAGTATCAAAAAAATAAGGTGGTAGCTCTATGTATCCGAGTATGCTTGCACCTACCCTGGGTACCAGATGTACCGGGTAACATGGTTTGGATTTATGAGAATTCGTTCGTCAGGTTGTTACTTATTACAAGAACATATCTAGGAGCTTTCGCAAAAACAAACTAAAGAAAAAAAGTTTTACATTCAGATGTCGTGTGCAGTGAGTTAGAAATCAGAAGATGGCCCCCCAAAATCCCGGTACAGCATCAATTTTCGAAATCAGCCCCCTCGAATTGACCATAAGTACTTGGTCCCATAAATTTCGCTTTCAGACGACCATTCCCCTATTCTCCGTTTGGTCTAAAACTACATGTGACCAAAACAGATTTGATTCTATTCAATTCGAAGCCTCGCTTAGATTCCTGTCACAAATACGTCTGTGGATTCTAATCAACAAAAAGGATAAAATTCAAACTTCAATACCTTAATTAAAAAAACCTTTAAAAAGATAAGAACAGCCATCAGCGTGACATTTGTATAAGATTGCCTCCAGTCTAATTTACATTAAGACGATTTCCGTAAACATTGCATGGCAATCTGTTTGGAAGTGTGAAAACCTCATAATTTTGCGTAGGATTCTAAACACGTTATTGGTTTAGGTTTTCCTCAAAACAGGACACATGCGATCCAGACAAAGGGCAGGACAGATTTTCAGCAAAGCTTTCGTTATATAATAAAATACGATGCCGAACTAAACTTTTGTTGTTCCTAGCGGACTCATGCCTCACTCAAAATTTTAAAACCCTTTGTTTACAACAAGGAGCGAAATACCGGGGGGCCTTGGTCCCTCCCAAAAAACTTAATTTGCATAAGTAAAATACTTTTATTTTGTACAATATGGCTGATGTTACACTGATTTATCAAGGTTGCCCCCCCCCCCCCAAACAAAAGGTTATATCTCGGTTTTTGGACAATTAGCTATCCCTTGTGTTCCTACAGTTCTTTAACAATGACACAACTCCAATAATTCTAGTCTTCCTACGGTAATGAATTTATGTTTTTAGTCTTCTATAAAGATTTTCTGCAGCCAACTTTAATTTGAGAAATGGCAAGGACAATATAGCAAGTTCGGCTGATAAAGAAGACTTCATAACAACGTATCAAAAATTCTCTTGACAAAACAAGTTGGCCCTTTAAAAATTTTTAGGTGGATTTCAGCAACAAAATTATTTGGTGAAACGTTTTTACCAACATTTTGAATTATATATAACTTATGAATATGCCAGACTGAGTTTAACCTGAACCTAAAGGAAAGGAAAATAACATCTTCCCGTTTTTTTCCAAAATAACATGTTTCAATTTTTCTGGATTGTTCTGATAGCAAAGTCCCCTAGATTACTTGTATATCCCTGAATGTAGAAACCAAGACTTTACAACCAGATTTTTTGAACTGTTCCCTCGTGTAAACAGATTTTCTAAAGCAATGGACCACCAGAAAAAGCCCAGAATGGTTTCAAAGCACATTATGTCATGGCTATTTCCACTCTCTCTAGAACATAAAACGTTCTTTAAAAGCTGTTGCTAGAAAAAGGGCCTTAAGAATTCAATCACTCGACAAAAAGTTGAATTTGTGGTGACTAGAAAATCAAACTCACCGAAAAATACGATCTTTGTCTGCCTTTCTACGATTATTGCAGTATGGTGAACATGCTGTGATGAAATGAAGTTTTCTCCGCAATGATCGACTAAGCTTTTCACCTCTCGTCCTAACCATGACGAAAATATTTACACTTTTCTCTTCGATATCTTACTCCCGAGTGGTTTGGACGTCGCCGATAAATGACGCTGTCAGGAACGAATGTTTGTTTGTGAAAGCGTGACGAAGAGACAAAAACATTGTATTTCCGAAGCAAGCGGGAATTTCCTTAAACAGCGGATCATCCGATAAAATGCGAGTGTCAGCGAGCGGCAACGACAATGAGAAAAGGGTCTTCGATGAATTGACGTTAGCACGGGGATTATGTCACGGGACAATATGGTCCTACAGTGTTTCAAAAGCTGAAACGGAAGATTACCGCAACTGTCACGCAATTGATTTTAACGAAATTTTTCGGTAACAAATTCAAAGAAGTGAATGTTGATATGATTCTGTACAAGTGTTTTTAACAAGCTTTCTTTTGAATGCAAAGGTTTTAGAGATCTCATTATTTTCAACCAATTTTGACGTTTTCCGTCTAGAAAGTTGAACAAGCTGTCGTACTGTGTACTTGGTTGTGTAGTGATAGACATATTGAACATAATTCTGCTTTTGAATAATGGGGTACAGATCAGCCCCAATCTAAAATTCTTAAATCATGACCTTATCAGTAACTATACCAATTTCCCAGAGCAATCTCTATCTCGAAAAAAATCACTATTGCCTCCAATCGAAAGATGCATGTCACCCTAGGGAGTTCTATTATCTTTTGGATTCGTCTAAAACCTATCAACAACCCCCAATATCTTGACTTGACTGGCGTTTTGATGAGGCAAAACAGTAGCAACAACAACAACGGTGGCGACCGCATCCTCCAGAATGACGAAAAAAGGGGCGTTGTCATTTAAACCTCTCAACGTCACTGGCTTCTTCGAAGAATCTGTAGATGACGTAATCGTCCTATTGGGATTTAGCCGTCTTTACAATATTTCCATTCCAGTAAAACTAAATAATAATTAACACTGACATTAACATTGAAATAATTGCTCATAACTCCACTTCAACAAATTCAGTAGTTTAGGGGAAAAATCTGATTTCTTTCGCTCTTCGTTTTCTTCTCAACTGAACAGTAAAGTTGGCACTCCTTGCTTCCCTCAACACCCTCATGGCCCTATTAAAAGTGATCAACCCTTTCCCTTCTTTGTGCCCACGCCCCCTGCCCAAGAATTGATTTTTCTAATTGTAAGTGTATGCCCGCTATCCGTTGATTTACCAACCGCTAAAACAAAACTGCTTTCAAATCGGACAAATGTGACGTCAGACCGTGAAAATCCCGTTGTACGTTGATTGTGGTTTCGTAGCAGCAACAAAACAGTAAATAAAACAAATACAGTAACTTAAGTGAATTGTAAGGAAATCTTTTTGAAATACCGCTAGCCTCTAAACAAAACAAAACCTTCTTCCCAAGAAACCGAAGAAAGCGGATAGACGATGTTTTGTTGTATGACGTCAATGTGAATCTATGGCAGTATATCAAAGAAGAGGAAAAAGAATTGATAGATTTTGATAGATATGTAGCTGGCACGATACGAGACACGATATAAACTGATAGTACACATGTAGTCTATTGTTTGATCCCCTGTGTCTCAACAGTGGCTTTTACAGGGACTGCGGGGCCCGGGGCCAAAAACATCTGCGGGACCATGAGCGCAGGACCTGGGGCCATGGCCCCCCTGGACCCCCTTAAAACCACCACTGGCATTACAGTAACAGCTATCTGAATACTATTTAGGCCATTATTGTGAAAAAGCTGAGCCAAACACGAATATTTCACCTCGTTAGCAAGAAAGGCATTCGTGGGCAGTGTCGGTACGTTTTCATTGCTATATAAAGAACTCAATGCTTCAGTCGAAACCTGAGAACACCCTTACCAAATGTCCAAGCCTTTGGGCATGACAATGAGATATGCCCCCTCCCTCCCCACTGATCTCTCCCTCCTTCTAGCACGAATACCTCGTTCACAGATGCGATGGACCCGGGGCCACTAGAGGATCTGTAACGTCAAATATTTTTTCTCTTGTAAACGTGGATACAGATGAATCCGTCTTTACAATTTGGGCGTGGGAGATGATTTGATTTGGACCTCTACCGGAACTTTAAAGCCATCAACCAATGTTTGATACTGGCCAGTGTCCTTGGAAGATGTCAAACTTTGTTTCATTTTTGAAACAATTATACAGTTTTTTCCTGAACAGAGAAAAATATTTGCAATATAAGTTTCTAAAACTCCTTAAACGCTTTTTCTTCAAATATTAGAATTCAATTTGGCATTTTGCCCACACCCAACATCTTAATTTCATAGGAAAAACCTTCATTTCGCATTCTCCTAACAGAAGTTCCATACAGGTGTTCAGGGATAAGGGGATGAGAAACCAAAATTTTTCCCAAGTGTGCAGAAAACATGCAGGTTTTGATGCTGGAAATCTGTTAAAAAGCTTTCATCGGCATTTTCTAAATTCGACAAATTCAAGGAAGAGGAGTAAGGGTCAAATACTCAAATAGAGTCAGTACCTGGAGATGGCATTATTACACTTTTGAAAGTGGGGAGTATTCTATATTTCATGATTAAGTTTTCTCAACACTAGCCTCCTCACAGACTCATTCGGATGAATAGGGAGGTATACATGCATACTTTTTCCTGAAAAAGTAGATTTTGTAAGAGCAACGAGGCTCGAAATTGTTTAAATAAATTAAGAAAAATAACCAGGCTGGAAATTAATCCACAGTTCGACTCTTAATCTATCTAAGTTTTTTAGTAAAAGGCTAATCTGAATTTCATGCAAAAGTTCTATAAAGCTCGAATTGTGGTTAGCAATGAACTTTCTTTCTCCAATTCTCCCAAATTTGAAATTTCTTTCGCTTAAAAATTTCTTTTGATTTGAAATTTCTCCGTATACGCGCTACGCAGGCTCCTTATCACTTGAAGAACGGTGAAAAAGGGCCTAAAACTGCCATGCTTATCTCGGTGTTTTATGTAAAGAAAAATTAATTACATCATGGAGCAAAACGACTTTAAAGATCAACTTTAACAAATCAATTCTGTAATATTTCCTAGCACAATCTTCTGGTTATTGATACTCTGTCCATTTATTTACGTCACGGAAGGGTAATTTCAAGGATCTGTATCCACTGTATAGAAGGTCAGAAGAAAACAATTCTTTCAAAAACTCTGCATGAATCAAATTTACTGAAAAAAATATGGCTAGATTTCATGCTCAATGGCTCGCGGTGAACTTGTTTAACATAGCTAAACACTCTCTGACATTTGAGACCCTGAATTGTGGACACATCCTCTTTCCTGAAACTAGATCCACTTTTAAATACAATCGTAACAAACCTGTCTTAGTTAATATTTCCTACCATCGTCCACAAAAATTGTGAGACTGTTTTTCCTACCCATTTCACACAAATGCCATCGTCTCTCTGGCGTATTTTATCAAAAGAAATACTATCGAAATGATTTCGTAAACAGTTCATAATTTTGACTTCAGCTTCAGACAGACTACTTCCTTGCACAACCCTTCCACCGTCCCCTTCCCTCCCTTACCCCTCTAGGCCATTTCGCTTGCTGAGATTTGGTAAATAGTTGCAAACAGGGGAATTAAATACAATTCTAGTAGATTACTGTCAATAAATTTGTTTTGATCCCATGAATGTCTCAATATATTTTATGAAGGATTGTAAATGTTTACGTTTTGTGCTTACTAGCACAATCTAATTAATTACGCACAATTTGATTCACACATTTACCAACTACTTATAAACGCTGTCCATTTGGCCTCGTTTAATACTAGAAAAACGGAGACTATAATATTGTACAGTTGAAAGTACTTACCAATGCTTAAAAAACCTGTATGATCTTAAACCTCCAGTCGTCAGTTTCCTAAACCAACTATTCCTTAATGCCTCTTTAAGATGCCCCTTTTTGAGAAAAGGCAGCAAACCCACGAGGAAACAGTCCCACGATGTTTGAGTTTCTTTCAAAGTTTAGCAGCCTTTCTCGGCCTTCCTAGTTATCGCAAAGTGGATGTGATAGGTCTAGCCTGGCGGGAAGGAAAGCGTGGGTTGAATTTATATTAGCTACATTCTCGCACTAAAAGTTTGTTTACGAGATTTTGCAGCTGGCAAGCTGAATCAATGTCCAGGGATGCCGGAACGACCAAGGGCAAGAGGGTGGGCTTGAGTAAAAGGGCATTTGAAAAACAATTCCCAGCTACCAAAAATTATTTTGCAACTGTCATTTTGTTTTGATCTTCTGTCAGTAAATTTTGGCATAAGAAATTTCTTTACAAGTTTGAGTATTTTCGTCAGTAATAAGGCACTACAGTCAGGAATTCATATGAATCTTTTTGATTTCCAACAAAAGGCCGGCATCAAGGGCACTTTAGCCCCCTTTGCCCTTCCTTTCAAAAGGCAAAAGGGACGGTTGACCCTCCCCGTCTCCTCTCCGGCGTCTCTGCCAATGTCCTTACTCATAAATGGCCTCTAAGCTGTAAAAGTTGCGCTCAATATGTTGTCAGTCAGTCAAATGTTATTTTCATTTTTTCAGCCCTCATCCACCCCTGGGTTGGTGGGCATAGCTAAATTTTTTTGAAAAATTCAAAGGTATATAATCTTTTATAATTATTGATTCGAGGCTTCCCTCTAATGAACCTGCGCCAGAAGACCTGATTCGTTTCCCCATATGAAAACCTTTTTCAAATGCCTTGTAACACTAGTATAGCAGTCAAGTAATCCAATACCTTACTTCAAAACATTTCAAAATTTCAAAACATTGGCAACCATGCACTAGCAACAGCCATAAAGACCAAACAACGAGGAATTAAACAGATTAGATCGAAAATAATTGATAAAAAGCAAAGATGGCTCCAAGCCT